TTTGCCTTTCCCTTTTTGCCATTGGTGTCTATTGTTAACAAATAAAAACAGTTAGATAAAGTAGATGTTAGTATTGTTAACAAGTAAAATAAGTTAGATATGGTGAGAGGTGTTACCTTCTCACAACCCCTTGCATTATGATTTGGCTCTCCACAATTGGTGCAAGTCATTACTCTCCCTTTTCTTGAAGCTGCCCATTCACCTTGCCTTTTGATTGCCTCATCTTTTTGTCTTGTTCTCTTGATTTTAGGCCTCCCAGCCATCTTGACGAACTCGGGTGGTTCCATTGCTTGTAATGGATCTACCTTCCAGAATTTTTCACCCCTAACTGGCTGCAACTTGTACTTGTAGGTAAGAAGATATGCTTCTTTGTTGTACCACCAATTGATTTCATTCATAGGCTCCAACCTTTTTAATTGCAGGGATTTAATTGCATGTGGGCATGGGATTCCAGTAAGATCACATCCCTTACATGTGCATTTTTTCAAAACCATATTTACAGTGTACTTATCTGTCCCGTCCCTGACTTCATAGCCATTGTCACCATTGTTGTCCACATAGCAAGAAATGTTAGCTATCTTGAAGTATTCATTGTAAAGCTTCAAACTATGTGGACTGAAATCATTTGCCCATGACCTCACAGCTTCCTCCCTTTCCCTCAATTGGTTCATCAACTTTATCCTTATCTCCTCAAGCATTTTAATTATTGACTTTTGCCTTGCTTCAACCAGCCATGCATTCACTGACTCAGTGAAGTTATTCTTAACTTTTTGGTTCTTGCACATAGTATCAAAATAGGCTCTACACCAAGCCTGTGGAGGATACTTTAACAATGATTCAGCAGCTTCCTTACTTAGTTTCCCAATACTCTTCAACTGATCCTTGAAATCTTCCTCATAAGAGCTCTAGGCACTCCACCATAGCAACTTCTTGAACTCATCTGTCCTCCATCTCTTGCACCAGTTTACCTCTATGTGCTTCACACAAAATCTATGGTGTGACTCAGGTAGAACATTCTGGACTGCCTCAATTAATCCCTACAAAATGAAAGTGAATATTAGCAAACATGCAGTACTGTAGGTAATTAACAACAAATTGAAATGAAAGAAATAAAGACATCTGGACAGAATTCATACCTTCTACATATCTGACATAAAGGTAATTCTCTCACCATCTTTGAGATCCAATGACCTTTGAAGCAATTCCAAGAACCAGGTCCAAGTCCTTTTGGTTTCTTTATCAACAACTGCCCATGCTACTGGATAAGACCGATTATTGGCATCTAGAGCTACAACAAGTAATAGATGACCTTTTGCTTTTCCTTTCAAAAAAGTACCATCTAAGCCAATAAATGGTCTCAGCCCTTCTCTAAACCCATCTTCAATGCTTGGAAGCAAGTATACATTCTCAAGAATTTTCTTTTACCTTGTTCAAGGGCATCCTTTGACAAATTAATGATTATATCACTGCCCGGATTACTTACTCTAAGCTCATTGGCATATGCCTCAAGTTTATTGTAATCATCTGTGAAGCTACCATCCAGTTTCTCTAAAATCAGCCTCTTAGCCCTCTTGCACTTTCCATAACTAACATTAACATTGAATATGTTTTTCAGTTCTACTCTCATCTCTTTTATCTTAAACTTTGGGTTATCTTGCACCTTCTTCTTGAAGTAATTTGCTATTGTATAATAATCAACCCTAGAATTCTCAAATGCTTCATCACATGTATGTTTTGCTTTTAAGGTCTTTACCCTAACCCCAGGAAGGTCCCCATCTGGAGTAATATGAACAATAAAGGGGCAGTCAAATACACATCCATATCTTAGCCTTTTTGGAGAACTTTTCAACAACTTTAGTTCCTTTTTGTTTGCTAAGGCATAGAAGTTAAGATATTTTCTTGCTTCACGGATATCCTTGAAGCTCATACCCTTATACAGTTCCTTATAATTATCCAAACCAGGCATAATCTCTCGTTTCTTTTGATTAACAAATATTTGTAATTCATCACTATCATACTCGACCTCTCCACAATTAGAATCAGATTCACTTTCAACATCACTACAATCAGTACCAACTTCAGTATAAGACTCAGAATGATGGACTATGTTAGTCACACTAATAGACTGCTCACACTCATCTACAGTATATAAATGAAGAGTTTTGAATTCATCAGAGATTAGAAACAACATATGTCTTATACCATCATCATCCTCAATCTCATAATAATTACCAGATGAACCATTCACAATTAGTTGTTGAACACCTACATTTCCTAACTCATTAATGTATAAATCCACTAGATATTTGTACGATAGAAGTTCAGAATCATAACCTCTCTTGATATGGGACAACTTCTTTGAATACAAGACATGTGGGCTTGTGATCCAGTCCCCACCATAATACAAGATTAGGTCCACCAATGGCATCCTTGCTATTCTGTAAAGGTAACAATAAAAAGTACCTAAACAATTTAAAAATACTAATAAAGAATACGGGGAAAACAACAACAACAACAACAATAACGACCCAGTATAATCCCACAAGTGGGGTCTGGGGAGGGTAATATGTATGCAGACCTTACCCCTACCCCAAAGGGTAGAGAGGCTGTTTCCAGGAGACCCTCGGCTCAAAAAAAGCAACAGGAGCCGATATATTAGTACCATAAAAATGCATAAAAAATAACAGCAATATAAGAGATATGAAATACAGAATACGAAATACGAAATAGATGGCTGGTATAGTAAAACTAGCAGGTAAAGCCCTGCATCAATAGACGACCAATGACATTCTTAGTCTAACTCCTAACTTGCTAGTCTCACTCTATTGTGCTGTAGAAATATTCACAAGTTTCCCCTAACCTACAACCTTAATGCTCGACCTCCATAATTCCCTATCAAGGG